TGAGCGTAGAAATAGAAATGAAGAATATCATAATTTTGGAAGGAATCGAATCGGATTTTGGGATAGCATCGCAACCAAAATTAATCAAGAACATAATACGAGCTTTAATGGACACCTATGTAAAGAAAAGTTTATGAATCTTGTTCGGGATTACAATGTAAGTATGGTATATTAAGGCTCGAAGAGCCATTGCTTAGCAATAGATTTTTTTCCAACTTACATCTTAGTTATTATGACTAATAATTTATGTCCATTAGTTGATGTGTGATTATATGGCAGGAAATCGAAGAGCACGAAGAAGTCGAATGGGTGCAAAATACTTTTATGAGTTTCATACGCATTTTTGTGAGAGGCCTGAAGTGAAGGCATGCTTCAAGACCATTCCAATCAGTGGAAATGAAGCATCGAAATCGCAATATGTACAGTATGTCCCTACCTAATTGCCAGTGCAAATTTATTCGAAGGCAAGTTTGAGCTCCGACCAGAAAAAACGTCTCAGGACCAAATAGGCATGGTCCAGTCAATTTTGTGCTAGACTTACCCCAAATCACAAGAACTGCTGGCGTGACAGAAGTCAAGGACGAAGATTGTTTCGAGGGTATCGCTCAAAATACTGTCCAACTTGAATCAGCTTTGGTGAATCGCAAGCATAAGGCTAACAAGATGGATGAAGAGGATATGTTTGTGGGTAAGGTGTTTAAAATTGTCACAGATATGAAAGAATAATATTTTTAGAATGTTCGCTCGATAATCAAGAAAGGTTGAGATTTAAACTATCGAAATCGCTGATCATTGTATATGAAAATGAGGAAATGGAAGCTATGGTGGAAAGGGTCCTCGATCATATTGCTTGGTTATTGGAAGAGATACAAAAACCGGAGGAATCAGAAGTTGGAAATAAAAGAGCTAAAGTAGGAAAATGATATATCAATCACGGCTTGTATCTGATTATTTTTTAGAGCGAATCTACTTGTCGCCGCCGGTGACAGCACCGGATCACATGAACCATATTTCATAATAATAAACACGTGATGTGATAAAATCAAGGGATAGTAAATGAAATTAAAATCAAAAAATATCATGTGATCGTCAATTATCAGGTAGTTGTGGCTTAGAACATCTCGCGTAAATTTTTTCAGCTCGTGTCGTACTTTTTTATTCATCTCATCATGACCCAAAAATACTTCAAACGTGACCCCGCAAAATGGGGTATTATAAGTTATTTAAAGGAATGTACCGGGGAGTCATTTGAACGCAATATAGATAACTACCTTAAAGACTTCCAGACCATCGTTAAATATGGGGAAAAAGACAGATCTGAAAGGGCGCAATTGCTTCTTGATAGATACAGAGAGGCAAGTTAAAATCTTTTTTGTTGAGAGATAGGTGGCGTGACGGACAGAGACTTACTAGGTCGTCCGTCATTCAAGGCTATTAGCTGAGCCACAAAACTAGTGTCGGGGCACAGATGACCTACTGGGTTGTCTGATGTACAAAAGATCTGGCACTAGACCCATTGGGACACAGAGACCTATTAGGTTTTCTGAGGTTCTGGTGGGATCGGGAACCGGAGGCGCACTAATCGAAGAATACTACTGATTTCTAATCTTCCATACAAGGAGCCTCGACCTGATAGCAAAAGAGCAAAAAATTGGGAGAAAGAACGTTGCGCAAGCAAGTCTACATCCACAAATCAACAGTTATGGATATCAGCAGGAACAAGATCGGAAATATAACCACCGGAACTACCAGTGGCGGAACTTTCGTTTCTAGATTTCTTAAGGAAATCACATCAAAAAAAGGAAGCCGAGAAGAAGAATTAGAATTACAACAAAGTGATTCGAACGCATCAGATTATGAAATTTTTGAAGTAAATAGTATCTGGGCGGATGTTTTTAGCCGCAAATATTAACTACTATCTGTCCTGTGGATGTTTATCTCTTATTTTTTGCTCTATAAGTACTTATTAAACAATTTCCATATTTCCTACATCATTTACAAAAGAATACGAATGGAAAAATGTGGATGGAAAGAAACGGTCAGCCGATGAAGCCTCTCCCCTCATCCCTCCCACCAATCTTCGAGATCGTACTCCCCCTCCCCATCAGGCACAAGTTCAGCTTAATAGCGAGAATGACGATGACTTACATGATCAAGATGAGAACGAGAATGCATCAACCGAGGTTCAAGAACTCATGCAAAGATGGAAGATGTAGACCATCGTCTTTTTGAATATCGTATTGTCAACCTCTCCGAAAAAAGTCTCGTAGATCCAATAAATAAAGTCTTTTCGGATGATGATAAAAAAAAAAATAGAAATTTCTGGGAAGAGGTATTACGTTAGCCATCAGCTTTGGATCGTAATCAGTAATAATCTTGCACGTTCTTTTAGATGGAGCCATCGGCCGAAGAGAGGCAGAATACATTGCGTCGACCCAGGTGGGGAAAAGAGTATCAAGTCTCTAATTGACAAGTATGCGTTTTCCGTTGAGGTGAAGCCAAAATCGGTTTTATATAAAGATCAACCACTATCAACAAAAATTAATTTTCGAAATACCATTCGAGAGCGAGTTTGATTTCAAAAAACATTATGACGTATTATGGGTACAAGATATTATCAGCGATTGTAGGTATACCGTATACACTATGATGCAACACGGTCAATTAACTTCTGTATTTTATTTTAGCATGTTCTTGTTCGCCTCATCTTTTAACATGCTTCGCGATGCAAATACATTGGAGATAGCTTACAGAGAATCATTTGTTAATCCTATAATTCCCAAGGCCTTCGAGGATGTGAACGACAAGATTAGGTTCCAAACTTATGTATATTTTTACTTTATTGTATTTATACCCAATATAACGAACTCTTGATTAATCGAATATGATATTTTGGAGAGATAGAGAGCGCATTACGTAAACAACATCGAAACCAGACAAAAGGCCAAAAGCCTCGGGTAATGCTTGGGTCAAATCATGACGGGATTCTAAAGATTTACATGAATGCAAGTCAGATTGAGATTGGATTCTTAGAGGTTGTAGGGAACGCAATGGTTGTGGATCTTAAAAAATATCGTGAAGATACGGAGAAATTGTTCAAGGGTTTGTAATTGCCAGATATTCACGAAGTCTTTATGCAGTAAAGTTCACGGAATCTTTTTATCTTTGTAGTGATGCAATTGTCTATATTTTACCAGCGACAGCACCACCTACGACGTAATGCGACAGAAAAACAACTTGAATGCCTTCAAAGTTTTGATGTATTTGTGTACCGTACGTAATGTTCGTGTTGTACTTATTACTGATTCAATTATTAACAATACCTTTGCCTTCTTATTTCAGAGCGCGAGACAACAATTTACAAAATGCACCGTTCTAAAGGAGGTTTGCAAATTGTCGACATCCTTACAAACTTCACGATTCCGGACAAGGACCAGGATATGTGTTAGATGAAATCGTAGAAAAAGTGTATTTTTTTAAGGCACAAGTCCTGGTAATCACTATATATAATGTTCGTTGATCTAACTTTCTATTTGGCATTATAGAGCCGGGTAATGGATTATTACATTAATTTACAAGAGATCTCGCGGAAGGCACAGGAATATAATCCTTCAAATGAAAATCTGTTAGAAGCGTCACCACCAAAAAAGCATCAGCAAAAGCAAGATCCTGACAATTACTGACAAGCACAATAGACCCCTGAGCATATTACATTGCTTTTTTCATAACCTATATATATCATGTCCAAATTGTATATTAAATATTCTATATAGTATATATTGTTAAAGAATTTAGTATAGATATTATTGATCTATTTGGTGACGAAGAAGCATGTAATGAGGAATATGAAGTTGAAGACTGTCATGTCACAAGAATTCTCCTATGTGTACACCATGTAAAAAGTGTGGTAAGTCAACTTTTTCTAAATATGACGCACGTATAATACACGCTGGTAAGTATCGATCTCAAGATCATTATCAGCGGAAGAATCTGGAGAAGATGACACGAGATATATCTGAGGTAAAAGAGTCTTAATAATTTATGTGCAATATGTACCTACTGATTGGAGGTCATGTCCAAGTTTTTTTTTTTCGCCTGAAAATGACATGCGGAGGTAGCGGAAATAATATCAACCCGAAATCCGATAGTCCACATGTGGCCTAGTGGTCATGGTTATCAACCCGCTGTGCGTATATTATGTCGTATGTGACCTGACAACAGAAATCAGCCACCTTGATGTGTGGCCTAAAAAATGAATCATGCCACATAACCTAGCTCAATTATTTCCTTACACCAAAAACCACTCAGAAACATTAAGTCGATATGCGAAAATTTACTGGGTGATTAAAACATTATCGATCTCGGATTTGGCTTTCTAAAGAGCATACAAACCGTCAATCATCCCGATAACAAAAATCAGTCATCGTCGTCTGTGGCCTGACGACAGAAATCAGCCACCTTGATGTGTGGCCTAAAAAATGAATCATGCCACATACATAACCTAGACTAAGTGGAAATAACATAATTATGTTATTTCCACTATTCTCACTATTATATTATAAAACGACATAACGAACTTCGTGAAATAAGTATAGAGTTTGTTTTTGCATCGAAGAAATTTTTAATTATCTAATTGTGATGATTTCTTATGTATTTACTGATGCATATGTTTGAACAGTTTTGAAGAATAAATTTCATAATAAATAATATTTTAAAAAATAATTATTAATTATATATTTCAATACAATTGACTATTTCTTTAATATATGCCATGTATAAGCTTAGAAAAATATTCAATTTGACTTCTTTCCCAAGAATATTCAATCTGAGATGTTTTTTGAGATGGCATTCGATCATCGATTGTAAGATTAAGAAAAAAGAATAAAAAATTTAAAGCTTAGAAGTTATATCAAAATATGGATATCTACCTTGATCAATAAAAATGAAAACTTCAATTAACATAATTTGGCAAATATTCAAATATATTGAAGTATAAAATAGTCATTTAACATATGATAATTTAGACATTTTTGCATATAACATATTACATATATTTAGAAATAAAAATCTTTCTGCTTAAATTAAATAGAAAAGGTCATTACTTTGAAAAACTTATTGGGTAAAAAGATTAAACTGGGAAAAAATATATATAAACTGTATTAAAATTAGAAACATATAAAATTTTTATTGGATAAAAAGATTAAACTGGGAAAAAAATATATAAATTGTATTAAAATTTGAAACAAAAAATTTTTTAAAAACATTGACTTAGCCTTACTTTTTTGAATTGGTGTAAATATGTATATTAGATACTATAATTACCTATTCTTACCAAATATAATTTGATAAAACAATAGTCTTTTGACTGGATTTATCTCACAACTTGTTGCCACCTCTTTTTGAAGTGTACTAACCTGCCAAGGCTAGACTAGTACTATGAGATAATTTCAAAATAGTATAGGGTGTTGTCATATTCTAAATGGTTTTGTTTATATATTTGTTTGCTAACTAAATAAATTATTCCTTGATGTTTTATTAAACCATGGCTCTATTCTTTGATTATACATTTGCATTTTTTCTCTATTTTTCAAGTAATACCCCATTGAACTTTCTAAAGCTAGAAGTCTTTATATCTTTCCTTTTATAACTTTTATAGATAGTTGGTAATATCCCTTTTGATGTTTAAGTAATTGTCATATCTGGACATCTTTCTAGAATTTACTCTTTTATAATTTGTGTTATTTCTTTGAATAAGTTTCTCAGATTATACAATTAGATATCTCTCATAGTTCAGAGAGGTTTTTTTTTTAATTTATATAACTATTGTTGGGGTGTTGTTTTTGATAAAGTATTTTGTAATATTTGTGATAATAGTATTATTTATATGTTATTTTGTCTTTGTCTTATATGATATGCAGATAAAAGAATATACATTTATTTTTTTTCTATATTTGATGTACAAATTATCTTTATATATCGAAGGTGCTCTATGGTGTAGTTTGATTTTTGTAAATAATTATTCATTCCATAAACTTAGAAAGAATTTTCTTCGTTGTTGATTCTCTCAAATTATTATATGTTTGCATATTTTTGTTAATTTTGAGATATTTAAAAGTAGTGGGCCAATAAATTTTTTAAATGTTATAGTTATTAAAGTTGTTTCTAGTTCTATTCAAGAGTCTTCACTTGGCCATATAGACTACTTATATAATTTTCTTAGTTGTTTCCTTATTTAATACTACTAGATTTTGTTTATCCTATTGTATAAAGAAGTGTATCTTTTTGGGGTTTCAGTTTTAAGTGCAATGTTTCTTATATTGAATCTTATTACCCATTGTTAATCAATTTTTGCTAGTTGATCTTCAATTTATTTTATATATTCTTAGTGTAGGCTTTAACTTTAATTAGCTCTATCTTTATGTTTATTTATTTACAGGTTTCTTTAAGTAGCTACAATACTATATATTTGAGTTTTTTTGTTTTCTATAGTATTATATAATGATGAGCTTTTTGGTTTTTTGGATACTGTTAATAGCTACCATACTATCTATATATATCTGCACTCTACTAAAGTAAGGATATATACAATGGCTGTAAGAATGGCTATCAGTTCATCTCTTATTAAGAAAGGAAAAATTTTACCTTGTCTTTAAAAGTTTAAATATCTATTGTTATTAATAATTATTGTTTATTCTGACCTTATATAGTGTTGTTTGTTATACCAGCTTATAAAGCTATCCATATAGATTTCAAAGTATATATAATTTCTAAACTTTTTACTAATGTGAAAGCTCTATAATAATTAGTTTATCTGCATTGAACAGTTTGTATATAAAGTTTTGAAGGAAGTCCTTTATAGATATTATTATTTCTATATCTTGATCTCCTTCTATATATACTGAATATATTAACTTTAATAGATCTAATAATAAGAAGTTTAATACTCAGCTTCTAAAATTTAGCTCTTTATTGGTTAAATATTGCGATAATAAAATTTTACTATAGTGAACTAGAATTTCTATTATTGATTATTATATTCCTTCAACATTGCAATTGGCTTCAGTGTTATTAACCAGATATTGTTATAAGTTACATATATAGTATTTGCAGATGGCAAAGTTGATATCTATTTTATAGTACTTTATTTTCCTTTATTAATTGTTTGATTATTTATTTTTGTATCTATCAAGTATAGTCTTATAATATTTCTTTAGTATTTGACTTATATTGAAGAAAAGTATTGTATAAAGTATATGCTAATTGTGTTGTTGCATCTAACTATTAATTCAGGTTATCTTTAATTTTGAAGAACCATACAGGAGTAGATCCTTGAATTGCTATTCTATTAATTCCAATGAGTTGATTTTAATATAAAGTTTATTACTATCTTCATTAAGAAATTGATCTATAAAGAGCTGATTGTGTTTTTTTAGCTTGTTCTGATATTTCTGTTAAAAGTCCTTACTCATAATTTCTTGAATAGTTTGACTTCCTTTTTTAACTATTAACAAATTTTCATTTTTTATCTGCTTGAGATTGAAGTTATATATGCTTAATAGTTGGATTATATTATAAATAAGATTTATTTCAGATTCTAAAAATGTATTGTATGTTTTATATTAAGAAAATAAGTTCTGTAAATTGATATATATTCTATAAAGTTTGAAACATATATCTAACTATGGTGCCAGTAATATTATTAAGACTAATTTCAGTTATCCAGTTGTTTAAATATAAGAGCACTTATATTATACTTATTATTATTGTAAAGCATAATATTTAAAATTGTATCAGCTAGGCTGAGCTTATATTTGTACAGTATATTGTAGCTAGTTTACTCATAAGTCAGTTAGTCAGTTATAGGTTTTACTGAATGGAACTATATAATTGCATAGATATTTTATACTTAATACTATATAAGAACATAATTAGTATAATATACTTAAAATTCTTTCTATTAATCCTCTAATCATATATAAGAAAGACATTCACAAGAAGTTTTTATATTTCTTGACGAATATAGTTTTCCTACTTTCCTTAAAACAACTTGAAGCTTGTCTTCAAGAGTTACTATTACCTTCCCTTACTTGTTTACAAACTCCTTTAAGCAAAAACTTGAGCTTCTAATTGCCTAAATAGACTCAAGCATATACTTTCTCTACTAAAAGCAAGAAGGTTCTAGGAAGTAAAAAGATCAACTGGTGGAGTATCACCTCTCAGAACTGGATGTGACATAGAGATAGAGATTTTTTAGATAAGAAAAAGCTTATTATCCACCATCTCATATATTATCTTTTGCCCTCTTAGAGTGTATATAATTTTTTACAGTTTTTTGAAAGAATTTTATCTACTTTTACTTGATCCTGAATTTCTGTTTGTACAATGTTACCTGGCTTTTGATTGGTTAATATAAAATATATTGATAGCAAAATATAAACAAGATTTAATGACTATATCTATATATTTTGATGATATCATTAATGAAATAAAGAGAAATCAAGAATATGAACTTCTCCACTTCTCCAAATGAAGATTAACTGAGGCAAAGAAATTATAAGCTATTAGGATGGGTACTAAATTTCCTAGATAGTAAAAAGATAGTTATTTATTCAAGTCAAACCTTTTAACTTTTTATCATCTGGTTAAGCAAATATACAAAGAAGGTTATTTCCTTATCCTAGTC